GGGTGCAGGTTCTTAATTGGAAGCCTTCTCAGGATTTTGATCCCCATCACTACCCAGGGAACAGAAAACAGACAGATGTAATAAGAACAATTCAAAACAGCTTAGATATTTAAATGTAATTTTAAAAATCAACTGGAAACATGAACTCCACTCCAATAAAGTTAGAAAATAACTAGATATCTATAGGATGAACTGACAGTTTAAAATTTGTCAAAGCTAAATACATTAATAATTAAGTCATTTAAAAAAGAACACAGATAGAAAAAGGAAAAAGAAGGAAGATAGCACAGAAAATCCAAGAAATCTAAGTAGGGAGAATACAATCAAATAAATACAGGAGTGTGGTGGCTCATGCCTGTAATCCCAACACTTGGGGCGGGGAGGCTAAGGCTGGAGGATTGCTAAGAGTTCGAAGTTAGCCTGGCTACATAGTTTCAGGCCAGCCCTGTCTGAAAACAAACAAAACAAGGCTCAGGGACCATTGCAGAAGAGGGGGTAGAAAGGCTGTAAGAGCCAGGGGTGATGGATGACCACAAGGAAACAGAGTTTTCCAGGCGACTGGCAAGTTGCTCATGTGAACTTACAGCAATGGTAACAGCATGCATAAGACCCACACAAGCTCAAACCAGATAAAAGCCCGCATAGAACTGGAGAAATGGGTAAGAAGTCCCGGTTTAGCTGAGGAACTATTAGGAAATGATGACTACAGGGAAAGGGAGAATTGGTTTTTCATAAATGAGTTGACTAGGCTCCGGTAGATGGATTCACACCAAGGGACATTTGGGGACACAAATGTGGCTGGACAAGTTTTAACATACATGACAGAATGCATGACATCTGGGGGAGCTATAAGGAGGGTGCAGATGGGGAGAGGGTCTAAATATGATCAAGATGTATTTATAAAATTGGCAAAAATTCAATTAAAAGAGAAAGAAAAGGAAACCATCAGTCAAATTTCTTCCATGCTAAAAAAAGGACAATTACCTCACCCCTCTAGCCCTTCATTCCCCAACCCCCTCACCCCAATATCCCCACTCATCCTCCACACCCCCTACCCCTCCACCTCTGCCTGTCTCTTGCAGTTTTCTTAGGGAGCAGATGCTTTTCTCTCTAAAGTCCAAAAAAGTGATAACAGGAAATGGCTGTTTGCTGACTGAGCACCTATAGGTTGGTTTTTGTTTTTTGTTTTTTGTTTTCTGCTAATGAGAAAAATGCCAGAACCACTCTCAAATGGCAGCTTCCTCCAGGTAAGCCCAAGGACCTCCTGGTCGGATGTCCCCTCACACCTCCTCACACCTCCTCACACCACCATCTCCTCACAGCTGTGCCTTTGCTGTGAAAACTTTCCAAATAGTAGCCACTTTCCACCAATTCTCCATGGCCCCTGAAGAGCTTACAAAGAAGTTTGCAGGGACAGCAAAGGCACAGGGCTTTGACTGGTCCCCCGTACTTAGGCCTGCAGTTCTCTGTCCTAACAACCCTGCTGGTGCTCATTCTGTCATATCCTTTCACCTGAGCTCAGGTTGCTTTCCCCTAAGTGTTCCCCCTTGGCTTCCCTCCATGGTGGAGCTCATACTTACTACTCAAGTAAATCTGTTTCCTGGAATCTGAGGCCAAGTCACAACCTAGATCTACACTGATTCTCTGGGTGGTCCCCTGCTTAGCTGATGCAGAAGGGGAGGTTTTAGGGGTTTGAGACACAAAAATATAGGATCTTCTCTTCCAGGCCAAAAGGTTTGACTATAGTGTCTCTCCTAAGAGGCACCCCTGTGGCACCAGTGAGCAAGCTAGGAAGCACAGGTCACTTCTTGGAGTCTGCATACTCTGCAATATGCAGATCTCTGTCTCGAGCTTTATTTTTGCAGAGCGCCAACTTGAGTGCCTGTGAAGTACAGAAGGCTTTCCTTTGCTCTTTTGCTTACCCTGGGGACCAGGCAGGTTGGACAGGCACAGCATTCACCCCTTTCCCTACTGTTCTACTTAGAGCTTTATGTTAGGGATGACTCCCTTCTAAATCTAAAGTTCCATATTTCTGGGTTTCACCTAATCTCTGTTTATTGCTGCCCACCTTTGCCTCCCTCCCTGAAGCCAGGCACCTAATGTTCTGTTTCAGATTCATAGAGATGCAAGACAGAGCTGGCTGTCTCCTAATCCACCAGCTTCCCATATAGGTCTCCTTTAATTTGGGGTCAATTATTGAAACTTTAAAAGTTTCCCTTGATGGCATCATGTTAGTCTGATTCTTTGTTAATTTGTGTGGTATTCTAGGAACATCTGTACATTTGCATTAGGAAACTTTTTTCGGTTTTAGAAACTAGTTTCAGTAAGTTTAAGTCCCCTATGAAGTCTCTAGGCTGATAGGATTACCTTTAGTATTGAACTGGGTCGAAACTAAATCTTGTGCCTGATGCTTGCTCTTCTGTGGAGACTAAATTTGGTGACCCCATTACCAGGGTCTCCAGTGGGCATGAGCCCCATTTGGTAGCTGGGTGGACTAGACTGTCTCCAGGACTCTGAACTATGAAGCTGGCACTAGAGGAAAAACTGTTTGTTTGTTTGTTTGTTTGTTTGTTTTACATTTATCCGATAATTTATATTTCTAATGTTACTTATTTTTTTAGTTTGCTTCTCTGTTGCTGTGATAAATCACTGAACAAAGCAAGTTGGGTTAGGGAAAGGTTTATTCGGCTCACAGATTACAGTTCTTCATGGATGGAAGCCAAGACAAGAGCTTCAAGCACTGGCTGTACTACTTTGAATCTCTTAAGTGCAAGTTTCCAGAGTCAGACTGAGGTTTGCACAGGCTCACCAACACAATCAGGAAATCTCTCTTAAACAGTTCCTTCTCACGCTTCAGCATCTGGTCACATTTGACCAAATTACTTTCATGCAGAAAGACTGGAATTTCTGTTCATTGTGGTTATGCCTCGTGACTATGATTACTCTTGGTTCAAAGCTGAAAAACAGGAATGAATTCCACATTGTCTCTTGCCTAGCTTTTACTTAGTTTTAGAACCTTCAAGCTGTAGGTTCTGTTTGGTTCGTTTTATGCTTCTTAGAGGAAAGGAATTGTATTTTGCCAAAACCTATAACTGTTATTTACATTTTTTAGTCTTTCTGCACGCACAAAGGAAGCAAAACTTCTTTTTCAAAAAAAACACATGCTTTTAAAACTTTATCACATACATTTAAATTGTGATTATTTTTATTTCAAACAAGTCTCTAAATTAATTTATGATTTCTTTTTTAAGTATTTTATTTATTATTTTTATTTTATGTGTATGAGTGTTATGCCTGCATGTAAGTAAGTACACCCATGTCGTACAATGCCCGTGGAGGACAGAAGAGGCTGTTGGATCCCCTGGAACTGGAGTTACAGACAGCTGTTAGCTGCCATGCAGGTGCTGGGATGAGAACCCAGGTCTTCTGCAAGAACAGTCAGTGTTCTTGACGGCTGAGCCATCTCTCCAGTCCCCATGATTTCTTCTTTAAGTCATGTTTTTGGACATTAGGCTATTTCTATCAATTGCTAGACAATGAATTTCATGGTTGTCTCTTAGTTTCCAAGTCAATTATAGTTGTTAATGAACACTGTAGATGATGTCAAATATTTGAAATGTGTTCACTTCTTTTAGGACATAGCATAGCATTATTGTGAATGAATCATTTGGACTTGGAAAAAGATTCCTTTTGCAATGAATAAGGAGTAGTATGAATATATCCACTAGGTCCAGTGTGCTAAGCTTGCCAGGTCCTCTGAGACTGCCAGTATGACTGTGATTGCCTATCGTCTGTAGTTCTACCATGAACTTTGTTCATGTTGTTTTATGCATATGAACTTGGAATTGTTATATCTTTCTGCCAAATTAAGCTTTTTATCCTGAAGAAGTATACCATGAACTTTGGCTTTTTGTGATATTCTTCTTACTATAAAATATTTACTATAGTTAATATTTAAATGACATACCTTTTTCATCTGCACTGTTAAACTTTCTCAGTCCTTAAGCTTTAGGGACAATTCCTATGAACAGGATATCATTGACTTTTGCTTTTCTATCAGCATTATTCAAATACGGCAAGCTCTCACTCACTTGGCTGGAATTAAAGATGTGTTGAGTTTAGGCCTCGTTTTCCATGTGCTATTTGTCCTGCCTGTTGTGTTTCTTTTATCCTTTTTACTTTATCATGCCCCTGTGCTAGCTTAGAGGTTATATTCTGTTATATTGTTTTGCTTTCTTATTAAGATTACTTTAATTAGTGGGGTTTTTAGAACACTTCTTAGACTTACATAAAAATGAACAGACTGTATAATGAGCTCCTGTTTATCTCCTTACCCTTCTTCCATATCTCACCCTTTGTTGCCCCCATTGTAAACATTTTGAATTAGTGGTATATTTGTTTCAATTGATGAGCCAATACTGACACATGACCTAACTATAATTTACATTATTGTTCCTCTTTATATTGTACATAGAGAAAATACAGGTCTTATCGATTGAATTTGACAAATACATGTGACACATACCTACTATTATGTTACTGACCAAATAATCCTATTAGTATTTGTAAATGTTTTCTGTTTCTAAATATTTATTTTATTTTTAATTATGTATATATGGTTGTGTCTATCTGTGGGTATGTGCACATAAGTTCAGGTATCCACAGAGGCCAGCAGATGGCACCAGAGCCCCTGGTGCTAGAATTACAGAAGTTTGTGGGTCACCTGACATGGGTGCTGGGAATTGAACTCTGGTCCTCTATAACAGCAGCAAGCGCTCTTCACCACTGAACCATCTCCCTAGACCCCTCATTAGTATTTTTTAATGATTTTTCTAGAGATTGCAATGTGTATCCTTAACATCAAATTCTAAATTATTTGTGCTTGCTCAGTTCAAGGACCTCCATATTTCAAAGCTCTACATACTTAAACCAAAAAAGATGTGGTCATTGCAAGTAGATAAAAATTCCAAATGAAAAACATTCTTTGTTATTCTCTTTAGGTTCAGGAAATGATCAGACACAGAGATCAGAAGTGAAACGTATGAAGAATGAATCTTTCTCTGGCATTATTTACAATCATCAGTGTCAATATTGTGCTCTGCTCCTAGCTGGAAAATGTTTTTCAATAGGCATTGGTGGTCACTCCACCTAAATGTGTTCTTAATTCTTAAGCAAAATTATGTAGGGTACCTTTGTAAATTCATATAATACTTGCAGATATCTCTGGATGACCATACAAAAATATAGATATTATGACTATCCATGCGTTGGTATTTCAAGACTTATTCCCCCAAAGCCTGACCAATAACAAGCTCAAGTCCCCCAAGGAGAAGAGACCAGTAGTAACTGACCATTAGCAGCTTCTCATAAAGCCCAAGAATCTCTCAGGGCTCTAAACTGCTTATAAAACCCCCATGAGAAGATGTGTAGCAAACAATTTATGATATCACTTTATGTTCTAACAAAAAGTTATTAGAAATATTTCATATTCTTAACATTTGTACCATTTTCCTTTCTTATATTCTGTCATTTAACGAATGGAATTTAATCTGACTTTTAACCTATGGCAAAACTCAGACATGTTCTACTACCTTGTACACACATGTGGGTGAGGCAAAATGTCACTTACTCATCACCTTTGTCCCATAGAGAAATCTATACCATACAGTACATATAACTAGTCCAACCGGACTGTAACAGCAAAAGGCTGTAACACGATTTGTCTGGTATGAGACTTATCTGCCCAGAAATCACATCTGAGATGATTGTCTAATCCCACTTTTCTATGCTAACCCTTTCTTAAAATTTCTATTTGAACTTTGAAGCAGATTTGATTCTTTGTACTGTTAGCTGGTGTTATGGTTATGTGGTTTCATTACAATGAATTAAACTTGTTTGGACATTCACATGCAAACTTACTCTTTTATGTTTCTGGCATTCGTTCTCAAAATTATACCTAAAAAAGAGCCCTGTATTATTTCAAGATTTATGTAGCTTTTTCTTTAAGCTATTCATGAAATATGTGTGTGTTCAGGCTCAGTAAATGTTCTCTGCTCAGATAAGTGCTTGTCTGCCAATTGTGGGCTTGAAAGAGGAGGTGAAAGCTGACAGACTTGCAGTGACCTTGAGGAAGCTAGAATAACATGACAAGGTCAACACTAATTGGGTAGTCAAACAAAATAACCTGCGTTTGAGAGGCCAACACTATTACTAGAGATAAAAACATGGATGTTGTACCACACCATGAGCAATTAGCATTGAATTTTAGCTGGGTGTACAATTAGCATTTAAGAGACAGAGCAGGAGGATCCAAAGTGCAAGACCGGACTGGGCTATGTAGCAAGATGATCTTAAAGGGAAAAGGGGGGAGGAAGGGACTGGTAAAATGGCTCAATGGATAAAAGTGCTTGCCACGCAAACAAACCTGAAAGCAGGAGTTCAGTCTTTGGATCCCACAATTAAAGAAAGCGAACTGAAAAAAGTTGTTCTCTGACCACCACACAACCACGGTTGTACACACCCATTCATTTCCACACATACATTATACATACAGACACACATCATACACACACATAAACACACACACTGTATATATACATACACAATAATAATAAGTAAAAATTATTTTAAATTATTTAAATGATTGAATTCATTCCATTGATGCTCAGCTCTAATATAGACAGTTTAAGCAAGTTTCTTAAGGTAAAACCTCAGATACAACCATACCAGCAGTGTCAGCCCTGCCCTGAGGCTGGCTGTGATGCCTTTCCCAACTGTCATTGGCAATCTTACATAGTGAGGCACAGGAGATGGATGGGTATGCTATGAGCACAGTTACCAAGAAGAAACACTTCACTCGTAATGACTCAGGCTCTATTAAAAAGCCATCTATTGTACAAGAGCAATCAGCTAAAGTTCCTAAGAGGCAGGAATAACCCCTCCCAGGCCAGAAGTGGGAGTCTGAGAACACCTAGCTGTTGAGTAGAAGAGCAAGAGGAGTCTCAGAATTGCCCATCTCTCTCAGAGTGAAACACAAAGAAAACATGGGTGACCATACAGAATAAAAATGAGGAATAGAAGTTTCAAAGTCGGAGTAACCAGAGATCGAAAGACATCTTCTTTCTTGAAAGAAGTTTTCAAGAATATTCATGAAGGAATTCTTCATAGAGATAGGAGGCCTGTCTCAGTGTTGTTTTGTTTTGTTTTGAGACGGGGACTTGTGTAACCCAGGCTGGCCTCAAGCTTACTATACATCGAGGATGACCTTGAACTTCAGATCTTCCTGTCTGCACAGCTTCCAGGTATATGTCACCATGCTGAGTTTATACCATACCCAGGACCTCAGGAATGCCAGGCAAGCATGTACCAACTAAGCTGCATCTCCAGCCTCTTGAGCAGTCTTAAGTAGGAAAAAATGTGAAAAAGCACCTAGTATTTGGCATTGTTCTAATTATTTTAGAGGTGTTCTTATCAAGAGTAGTAATACTGATTATTCCTGAGCAACGGGCCTTCCTCCCTCACTTCACTCTCAACTTGCCCTGATTTCCTCACAATAGTGGAAGCCAAAGTGACTAGCTTTCCCTGGTCTTATGCATTAGATAAGACCCTTTCCCCATTACTATTGTTGTTGTTGTTGTTGTTTGCGACGGACCAGCCCAGACCAGAGCAGTTCAGTCCAACGGGAACAGGGTCCTCGAGAGAGTGGGCAAGGATTCGGCGAGTGACAAACAGACAGACACACAAGAGCTTGGTGAAGGTCTGAGTGTAATTTTTGCAGCTGCAAGTTTTGAGATATATACAGCAGAGATTGCAAAATCTCCCCAACAGAAACTACAGAACAGCCGTGCCAAGATTTACAATTCCAGAGATAAAAGCAAAACAACCCTGCCGACCATCATGTACAGCCAAAACACACCTCCCCATCCCATCGACCTGGCACCAGACGGCAAACCCCCACCGTGGCCTTCACTGCCAGCCTTTCCCACGTACTCAGGGTTCCGCTCAGCTCTGTGGTTTCAGGTCAAAATGACCTTAACCCATCACGTACTTTCAACATTAGCTGCACCTGATATTACATTTTTAACTATTTGATAACATTCCTTGCTTATTTGTAGTGGGCCATCGGGCTTCTAAGTCATTCCTTAACGCCTTAGATCCTAAAAAGTCATCCCATGTTGATTGAGTTCCTGAGAACTCTTCCTGCATACTAGGATAATTAAAAGATTTCAATAAAGGCAGTGACAGCGGTGTCAAGAACGCCAGGTGTTTTCCGGGCCCCGCCTGAAAGCCCATGATACAGTGACAGTCAGAAAGATAATAGCAAGTAAAAGCACGCCAAGTACACTGCATGTTTTTTAGCACAGCCAACTCCAAGAGGCAACCTTCCTTGAAGTTTCAGCCTCAACCCACGGAGGATCTCACGCGGGCTCCATTGGAGATGGCATGACAGTTGTTGTTCCTCTTTCTCTTCTTCTTCTTCTGAGACAGAGTCTCATGTAGCCTAAGCTAGCTTCAAACTTTCTTTGTAGCCAAGGATGATCTTGAACTTCTGATCCTCCAGCTTCTGCCGTCCAGGTTTGGGGATTACAGGTGTATATCACTCCCAATGTTATGCAGTCCTGGAAATCAAACCCAGGGCTTCATGCCTGCTTGGCAAGCACTCCACCAACTGAGCCGCATTCCCAGCCTTCCACTCTTCTATGTAAAGAATAAATTCCTAAATGTTGGAGAGGATGTGGGAAAAGGGGAATCCTCATCCACTGCTGGTGGGACTACAAACTTGTACAACCCCTATGGAAAGCAGCATGGAGAACTCTTTAAAAACTACAAATGAACCTACCATTTGACCCAGTTATACCACTCCTTGGCATATACCCAAAGAACTCATCCTATTGCAGAGACACTTGC